CTAGGGCCTAAGAGCAAAGGAACTTTTCAAGCTCTTTCCTCCTAACATCTGTACCCAGGTTTCTCTGGACCTGACCACTATAACAGCACAGACAGAGAGTGCAGGAAGAACTAGCAGGTTAGCAAAGAAGCAACACTTTCAAGAGAACATGTTGTTCCTCACCTAGTGCTGAACTCCAGGCTTTCTCAGGAGGTGAGTGTGAGCAACAGGACTCCTGGCCTAAAGAAGCCCATCAGAAGGAGAGAACGAGGAGACAGAGTCAAAAGCAACAACCACCGTACCTTGCTCAGCACTTTAACTCATTCAACATTTATTTCACTGAGCCCCTATTATGTGCTAGACACTTGTTCTGATACTGAAAACCCACCCACACCAGTTGAGAAGTCAATTAGTCACAACCATAAAGAGGATTCACGCCCTTGACACCATGCACCTCAAACCTGCCCTCTACTCTCTCAGAGCTTAACTCCTTCCTTCCCTTCCTGTCAAGGGCTTTGCCCTTTACCCTGACCCATCCTGAGGGCAGGGTGTGACCGAGGGGAGGGCAGGGAGCAGTAGGGAGGTTTAAGCTTCCAGAGCTAGCACACAGCAAGAGAGGTGAAGTTTTTGGTTGTTTTCCCCGGTTTCACTTTCTTCAGCACTGGGGTCAGAAAGAAAAGGTCCTGGTGACCTTGGTTCCGATTGCTGTCAAAGCCTCTTCAGATTTTAAAAGGCACAAAGCCTCAGTCCCTCTCCCTCAGTTCCCAGTCATTATGAACCTCATATTTCTGTCACTGGGCTGTCATTTAGCCCAAAATAGAAAATTAGCATTTGATCTAGATTAGGGAAAAAGTGGCTTGCACAAGATGGAAGAGATGCAAGAGATAGCCTGTACTTGTTTGTTTGGGGAAATGATTTACCTGCCTTATATTATAAGCAGGAAGATTTTAGCATAGGATTAGCCTAAAACAATGATAATCCACTCAAGTGTCATGAGCTGAGGTAAGGCCAATGCTAGAGACAACAAAAAGATGCTCCACCAGATACTTCCTTTCCAGGCCAATCCAGATCATCCATTATGCCAACAAAGGTCTCAAAATGGAACTGGAGGCACAGTAAAGGGAGAGCTTAGCATAGGCTCCTCTAAATCATAGTAGGGCTTGATTTTTTGAGTTGTTACTTAAAATTCCCATTCACCTAACCCCATGATCTTTAAAATGAAACCAACTTAGATTAACCTGCTTACATTGTTTTATTTTGGGGTTCTTAAATTGAACTAATTCAATCGATCAGGATCCTTTGTGTTTAAAAACAAAGGATAGAATTCGAAGAGGAAAAAAGAACTCCAGACCATATGATATGAGTGTTTTCTTGTTTATTCTATCACTAATCTCTCTCTCTGGAACTCTCTTCATTTTCCAGAAGAAAATAAAAAGGTGAGATACAAAGAAGGTAGGTCACCTTCCTCAAGTCACATAGCTAATTAGTTGCAGAGGTCACAGTACACCCCTGGTTTGTTTTGTTCTCGAACACAGTACAGCACTTCCTTTTGTCCATGGATTGATGTTGTATGCTACTCTAAGATGTTAGATGTCAGAACAGGAGCCTGGATTTAATTGGCTGAAATAAGTGTTATCAGTTTTCTGAAAGTTCCTGGTTTCGTGTGACTTTTAAAACTATCTCTTTAGTTGGTTTAGTAAGTAAATAAAAAGCTAAAAGAATTATTAGTATTATTACTTTTGGCTAGGACCTACTTCCTTGATGATGTGGTAATTATAATTGTTTTTATGACCCAAGAACCATTCCCTAATGTCACTCTTCCTGTTCTGCATCAGGTGTATGCTTACACTGATTATTGCTCCCAGTTTTCAGAACTGCAATAATCATGCTAAAAAGTTTCTTTTTCAATTGCTGTCCTTTGGTCTTTGAATCAGAATCAACTTGTTCATCAGAGAGGTTCTACTTTTAAACCTTAGTTAATCTTCTATTTGGAAACCCTGAAAGTGGTATAAGAGCCAGCTCTGCCTGGAGAAAAACTGGAGAAATCCTCCAACATTCTAGTAAGATGGAATTGGGTGGACGTGGCATGCTATGGGTTTGATTTCTTGATTCTCTGCTATGTTTACAGTGATAGCTGTGGGGTATGGCAGAAACAGCTCTTGAGTCAGAAAGCAAAAAACATGGGTTCCAAGTCTCCTGCACTCAAAACTAGCTGAGTGAACATGGATACAAAAATAGGTTGTAGGTTATATAAGTTTAGGATTGGAATGGACTTTAAGGACCTTAGCTCAACAGCCTTTACAGATGAATAAACTGAGGTTTAGAGAAGTTCAATAATTTTCCCTAAATTTGAAAGTAGCTACCAATATTAAAAATATATAATTGGATTTCTGGTCAAGATGATTCAGTAAGTTTATACTTTGCCATACCGCTTCTGCTCAAAAAAATAAAAAATAAAAAGAAAAATAAAAAAGAAAACCAGGAAGGGCCTCAAAAATAGGCTACATATTCCATGAAACAGACACCTTCACTGGTGACTTGTGCCAAACATTCAAAGAAGGTTTAATTTCTATCTTATTCAAACTCTTTCAAAAATACTGCAGAGGAAGGAATATTTCCAAACTCATTTTACAAAGCCAGCCTTACTCTGATACCAAAACTGGACAAGGATACCACAAAAAAAGAAACTGATGGGTAAATATCCCTGATGAACATAGATGCAAAAATCCTCAACAAAATATTAGCAAACCAAATTCAACAATACATTAAAAGGATCATACACCATGATCAAGTGGCAGTAATTCCAGGGATGTAAGGATGGTTCAATATTCACAATCGTTCAAATACAAACAAAATGAAGGATAAAAATTCTCATCTCAGTAGATGCAGAAAAGCATTTGACAAAATTCAACTACCATTTATGATCAAAACTCTCAACAAAGTGGGTGTAGAGGGAACATATCTCAATATACTAAAGGCAATATATGACAAACCCACAGCTAATATCATACTCAATGGTAAAAAGCTGAAAATTTTTTCCTCTAAAATCAGGAAATAGACATGAACAAGACAGGAACCTCTCACCACTTCTATTAAACATAGTATAAGAAGTCCTAGTCATAGCAATCAAACAAGAAAAAGAAAAGGCATCCAAATCGAAAAGGAAGAAATAAAACTCTCACTATTTACAAATGACATGATACTATCTGTAGAAAACCCTAAAGACTCTACCAAAGAACTGTTAGAACTAATAAATTCAGTAAAATTACAGTATACAAAATCAATATACAAAAACTTATTGTGCTTCTATATACTAATAACAAACTATCAGAAAGAGATATCAAGAAAACAACAATTCCACTTACAAGTGCATCAATAAGGATATAATACCTAGGAATAAATTTAACCAAGGAGATAAAATACTGAAAACTGTAAGACTTTGATGAAAGAAACTGAGGAAGACAAAAATAAATAAAGACATTCTGTGCTCATGGGCTGAAATAATCATTATTGTTAAAATGTCCATATTACACAAAGCAATCTACAGATTCAGTACAATCTCTATCGAAATACCAATGGGATTTTTCACAGAACTAGAATAAAGTAGAGGTAGAATCCCAGATACTTCTGATTCCCTATCTACGTCTGGGAGTTTTCTGTTTTGTTTATCTTCCAGCAAGAAAAAGGCAGGGGATTGTTTCTATCTTATTTCTTCAATCTTTTGCCTCAAGGATCTCCATATCTTTCCTCAGACTCTTCAGTCATCAAGCACTAAAGTAGCAAGAAAAGCTATGAAACTCAATTGTTTTTTCCCACCACTGATAACGCTTGCGCTCCTTAAGGTGACTACAAAACTATATCTAAAACAGTCAAATTAGAAAACCAGGCTCTCATCCTAATCTCCATGTTGTAAAAAGTGCCAGAGAATTTTAGGGAGCAACACTGCAGACAGAAGGAAAAAAGCACTGTCTTGTCTCACCAAGATTAGTCTTCTCACTTTCTCAGCAAGGCAAGGGAAAGGAAAAAAAATTGTAAGGGAAAAAAACCCAAATAATCTCTCCAAAAGAAGAGCAACTACGGCAGGAGCAAAATTACTATTCTTCCTATCTCCAATTAAGAATGCTTCTTATTAAATAGAACTTTCTCATCTGTATGTATCTAAAGATATATTTCACCAGTTTATTTTCCTATAATTTACATCAAAACTTGACTTTCTATTCCAGAATGAGAATATTTGTTAAAAAGTTTTCCAAAAGCACTTAAATTGTTAATGTTCAGTCAAAAGACAATCAGAACCAAGCCTGGTAGAATGAACTCTAATGAAAAAAGCAGAGAAAAAAAAAAAGCAGAGAAAATCTACAGATTGTCATCCCAACTGAATTTTCCATATTAGATACCTCAGAAATAATATAAAATCTTCTAATGAAACTTTCTCATGATATCAGGAGTACTATTCAATTTGGAAGGCTTTTTCTTTTTCTTTTTTTGAAAGGCTATCATTTTAATGAACAAATATTTATTTTCCCAGTACAACAAACAAAAGTGAGAACATGAAGTACTTGTTCTAAATAATGGTTTAAAATCTGGTAATAGAATATAGAGGATATTGAATTATGAATTAAGTTTTAGAAATAATAAAATTAAGAATCCTTCTATCTTTAAATGTGTTACTTCAGTAATGATAAAATAGTAAAACAGTTTCAAAAGTTAACCTCCTAAGTTGCCAAGTATAAAGCTCAAGCTATAAATCTTTTAATTGGAAAAACATGACACCTTTTTTTCTTGCTGTGAAATTTTCTCAAAAATACTCTCTCTCTCTCTCTCTCTCACACACACACACACACACACACACACACACACAGACTCCAATTTTAAAAAATAGCTTAATAGATTAAAGTGAAGGTGCTTAAAAGTGGATTGAGCTACTAGGTGAGTGCGAGGAAATGCTTGAGAAAAAGAATGATTAGGAGAAAATTGAGTGATCTGTTAAGTAAGTTCAAAGAGCTAGATAAAGGCAAATTATATGATAATGCAAATATTTATTTTCAGCTTACATTTGGCAGAAGACAGTTCATATTCCAAGTATCATTAATGAATCAAATGAAATACCATCTTAAGGAAATATATTCCAAAACTTATATATTCTGGTTTGGTTGTATGCAACTCCCAAATATTTAAGGACCTGCATCAGTTCTGCAGTCTACAAAAAGAAAATCACTCAATATATCATAAAAGTTGATTATATCTGAAAAAAACGAAGCTCGTTTTTCTTTACAAGTTGAGTTTTGCTTTCAGTGTTAAAACTAAGATCCAGATTATATACAAAAACGGTGTCAAGTAAATGATTACTATTGGAGAGCAGAAACTTCAAAATGATGAAAATAAAAACAGTAAGTACAAATGCACTGCACACATTAAGTTGTAGATTACACAGAAAAACAGCAAATCCACAAGCTAGTTATTAATCTACCAAAATGTCAGAACCAACAGTGATTAAATTTTGGCTTAACTGAGTAATTTGGTCATCTATTATTAATGAACTCTTGCTATCCAAAAATTATTTTTCAATGTTCGACTTTTTCTATATCCAATCCTAGATAAGACCTTTAATTTTTATCATGGCATTCTTTGGTTTCAGGCATTTCCTAAATGAGAATAATAGCACCAGAAGACTATCACAAACTCTGTAACATTAGCAAAAGTGAACCACACTTAACCCCATCCTGAAATATTTTACATACCAATGACTACAAAGACAACACCACGGTTCTATTTAACCACCGAAATTAAACAATTCCTATAAAACTTCATAGTCTATAAAAAGTTTATGAATCAAAAATTAATATGTCAGACACCAAGTAAATTTATTTAAGGTTTTTTAAGAGAATTCCCTTGACAGAACTAAGGTCATTCAACTTTATATGCTCACAGACTGAGTCTAGTGTTTATACATAAAAAGTACTCAACACGTGTTAATGAATTGATGGTATTAATTTGTGACAAATGATCAGGATCAAAAAACAAATACAACAGCTAAAACAAATAACTCATTCAAGAATGATATGCATAGGATGTCCTTTTATAGAATATTTTAAAATTCCCACAATACTACAAGTTTCCAGAATCAACATACAATGGAATGGTGAATATTGAATTTTATGTTGGTGGTTACCTCTAGTCAGGGAGTGAGGGTAACAGCATCAAAGAGACATACAAAAGTCCTCAATTATTCTTATTTGGATTTAAACCAAATGCTATAATGTTAATTTTGATAAAAAGGGCAGTAGGCATGAATGTTCATCTTATCTGGCTATTTACAAAATTTTTTAAAAAGGAAACACCAGACATTTTTGTAAGAACAATCAGCAATATATTGATGAATCAACAGTATTTATCAGATAATCATCTATGCTTCTTCTTTTATAATTTCAATATATAGTCATGATACTTATTTTTTAGATTTTTAATAAAATGAATTTCCACTTTTCTTTAAGTTAAAATTTGAGGAAATTTCTATTAGAAGAAAATTGCCTTATATTACCTGATTTAGTCAAAGCTGCTTGAAATTTCAACCTTTCGCCATCAATTAATTACTAATTATATATCAACATGAAGAGCAGAAAAAATGTAGTAAAGTCACAAGAATTCTGTTTACTATTATAGCAAACACTTTCATGGCATTTGACAGAGCTCAGAACTATTTTTTTGAAATGGGTTCATATATGTGAAACTAAGCCGGCCTAGATGGTCTTTATTTAAAAAAAAAAAAAAGAATGAAAAAGAAATTAAACAACCAAAGATATTTTACATAATAACAAAATATTAAAATAGAAGCAAAGTGAAAGAATGTTAAAAATTGCTAAGCAATGGATTTAAGAAACTTTGATTCTATCCATCTGACTTGTTGCGAATGGTCCTCTTTGTTCTTCCATTGTCATATATGTAAAACAGATATGAAAATAATTAAAGACTGGCCTTGCAGGATTTACTAGGAGGTTAAAAGGAATTATTGAAAAAATGTTCAAATACGTTATAAATACTATTAACAAAAATATTTATTTTACTGTACTTTTTGTCTTCCTTCAGTGAAAGTGTCCTTTTAAATCAGACTTTGTTCTTAATATTGTTTCAAATTCTCAAATAGAGAGATGTTAGCTTTCTTCCAAAGTGATACTTCCAGTGTGTCACAATATTTCAGATTAAGAAATACAATACTAGAACTGTGCTACCTGAGGCAAAAAGAGAGAACTTCAATACAACTGGTAAAGATCTTAGAAATAGTTCAACCAAGTTATAGGTCATCCAACTGACATATTTTGTTACTCCAGCACTTTCAAGTATCACTTTGAAAACATTCTCAATGTGAGATTTCTTATACAAATAGGAAGAATTTAATTTCTGTAAACATTTGCAGTGCCAGCTATTTCTTTGAATAGATTTTTTTTCCCCTTACAAGAGCTGCTCCAATGAAGAATTGTTTCTTACACATCCATGTCTAGACACAGATGGAAACTTAATGCTTCTCTGTGAAACGACAGAAACACCCAAGCTGTGTGAAAGCTTTCTGTAACCAGGGATTGCCTACCTAATTCCACACGTGTAATCACTCCCTATAGATTTCTGATGAATTAAAAATGTTCTCCAGTTACTCATAGCTCATCAGATGTGTTGTTCACCTTTGGTAATTTACATTCTTCACCGGTATTACAACTCTGAAGGATGTCCTTGTAGTGGTTCTTCAGATCTTCATACAAAGAAACGGTTTCTTGTGAGTGAGCCAATGGTAACACTTTTTCATTCAATAATATCTGCACTCGGAATTCTTCTTTAAGAGTCTTAGCATTTTTACAATGGTAAAGCACAAATATTAGGTTTGAGGCATAGGGTACAATGTGACCACTTCGGAACTTCCGATGCATTTGTTCCTTGTAATTGTAAGCTGTTAAGGGCTCCTTGTCTTTGAAGTAGCCCATGAGAGAAAGCAGTGGAAGAAGGGTCTCTGCATGACCAAATTGAAGAATGACTGGAGAGGAAACTGGCTGAGACCTTAAATGAGAAATCGAGAAAAAAAAAATGTGTGTGTATATAAATATATATATATTCACATCATAGACCATAATATCTACACTTAGAAGTATTATGCAACTTTCTCATCTTTTTATATATATATATTTTTTATATAAATAACTCAACAATATGGCTGAAATTCTGTGTGGTAGAGAACAGAACTTTCTACACTAAAAGTTCCAAAATTCAGGATCACTGTAGTATTGCAAATCCATCTAAAACACTATATATACATATTATTCTCTAAGTTTAAAGAGAGAGTAATGTCTTTACTTATAGATTAAGGAACTTGAAGCAGACATGTATTTCAAAACTGTATTGCAATTCTGTGAATGAAATTAAGCAAACAGGCCCTTGGTAAATATTGATCACTCCATGGAGCTCTTCTGAACTTCAAATGTTATTTTATCTATACCTAGGGAATAAAGACAATATTCAATAAATTTCTCAGTTAAAACAAAGTCTTAACAGTGAATGGCAATTCATGTAATCCTTCAATGTTTTACAAAGATCTAACTCTGGCACCAAATTCAGAAGAGCCACAAAAGGGGAGAGATGCAACCTATTCTGTTATACTGCCTCTGTGGTTGGTAGTGGAGTTTATATACACTGTCAGAAACATAACAGTTTTCAACACCCTGAGCTAAATCACCTTTTTTTTCTCAAGGTTTCTATGATTTTTTTTTTCCTGGAAAGGCTTTTTTTAATAAACAGCAGCAAATGACTGCTTAGCCTTTTCTCAACTTTTATAGAAAAAAAATGTCTATTGTTCTTAAATATAATTTGTAAACCTATTCAAACACAAGTAACCATCTGACATCTTGCCATGATCTCACACATTACAAATTTAGTGCATCTGGATTTTCTGGGAGGAGAGCATTTACAGCAGTTGCTGAACCTTCCTCATTCCCCACATAAAAACAGATGGACTTAGCAGCTGAACTTGGAAAGGATTTAGCCCACTCTAGTATTTGGTGAGTGCAAGGGAGAACTACCTCTAGGACTCTTCTGGGGCTGGAGAAATCTAGTGAACCCTCTAAACAGCTCTCCAAGGCTCGATTCTAGGACAGAGGCCACAGTAAGGAGAAACCGCTAGGAGTGCAGTCAAGACTGAGCAGTAGGGAGACAGCAGATACAGGAAGAGTAGGTCCAGATAAAAATGTGGGGAGGGGACCAAAAATCTCAGAAAGCAACCCACCATATTTCTGAACAACCACCACCAGCACCACCAGCACCACACACACACACACACACACACACACAGGAGCTCTGTGAGGTTAGTAATCTGACCTGAGTCGTCTTCTAAATGTTCAGGACAATTAAATTCACAGTAAAATTAGCAAAAGAAAAGAAAGTAAGAGAAAAAGAAACAGAAAAACATCCCTACATAAAATAAAAGTATAGTGGACATATATACTCAAAAAATACATAGAAACTAACATAATATTTCACAGTTATCCACTATTTTGTAGGTTATATATTTCTACAATAACCCCCAAAAAATGAGGTAATGCCAAATACAAAGGATAAATGAGCACGATTTCATTTGTGATTATTTTTGATTTGTCTAGTTTACTCTTTGTGTCTTAAAGAGTCTTGTACACACAGCAGACGCTGTTGCAACTTCAGAAAAAGTAGCTGGCTGATGCTGCTTCCATTCATACAAAAAAGGTCCTGGATAAAAAGGCTGCACACAATTTTCTAAAACATAGTAAAGAGACTTTTCAAAGATCCATTTAGTTATTTTGTTTAGATGTGACAGATCTTAGAAGTCCCTGCCAAGTGTCGGGTACCATGCTAGTTTCTCTTCTTTTTGTTTTTTTCTTTCTTTTCTTTTTCTTTTTTCCTCTTCCCTCCCTCCCTTCCTCCCTTCCTTCCTTTTTTTAGGAAGGTAAAAAAGATGAGAAGGGAAAAGAAAAAAGGTGATAAGGTGAAAGACAGAATACAAATAAAACATATTTCTGGCTTTTGCAGATTAGCCATTTGTCTAAGTGTTAGGGGAACCCAAGAGAGGTGGAGTGAATCCTTCCGTCTGGGGAAGAATTGGATGGGATTTACTGAGGAAGTGGTGTTTGAGCTATGTTCTAAATACATTTCTAGTAAATCTTACAATAGAAATGCTGCCCACTGTATCCTTAGTATAGTAGCTGGTTTACCCGATGATGTAGCTGTCATCCTTTTTTTTACAGATGAAAAAATGAGATTAACTTACTTGCTTTCAAAGTTATCTTTGAAGCACCAATTAAACTCACTAGAAAATACCATCCATTAAATTCATCGGAATAGTTTAATGTAAAAGATTAACGTAAACCCTTTCAAAAAATATTAGTCTCTGTCAGCCTAATTTATAAGTTCAGTTTTTCAAAACTGTTTCATAAAGCAAGGCAACACCTGAAATTATTTAAAAACTAACTTTTTAGCTTGAACTTGAATACAAGCATACCATAAATCAAGTTTCATGAATATAATTTACACACAAAAAATTCACTTGGAAAAATCTTAAGGCCCTCTTGCATGAAAAATATTTGTACATCTGGGCTAGAGAAAATGATTGAGGAATTTAGTCACCTTAGTTTACTTTAAACCATTGCTGATTTAAAATCATTTCAAGTCAAATTTGTTTTTATTTGGGCAGAGAAACATGGCATTTCACCATATTAACTGAAGAAAACTACATTGTTAGTGCTTGGAAACAAAGATCCTGGCATACTAATTTGAATTGCACAATTTCAAAAATACTTTTTTGCAACATGTTAAATCCTACAGAATAAGAAAATGGGTTATCTCTTAAACAAGATATCAATTCTTCTCCAAGAATGTATAAAAGGCAAAGACTACATTTCCCAGATTTTTAATCTGAAATAAATATGGAATAGAGGATGAACAAAGACAGAGAGAAAAGAAATCTTGCTTCAGGAACATAGTCTGTGACTAACTAATCCCGAAAATTAAGAAACCAAGTTTCTATGAGCTTATGGAGACTCTTTTCTCACTCAATAACTCTATGGCACTCAGTTGCATTATACTCTCCACCTTGAATTCAGTTTGCTGAGTAATGAAAGGTGTATGCATCTACATTTGTATTCTAGCATAAAAGAAGGGAATATGTCCACAAATGACCATTTTTAATTTAATAAAACCAATGTCTAAGCCAAATAGGTTCCAACTCCAATCAGTCTGTAATAACTATCTGGAACACTGCATTAAGGAGGATTCTGAGGTTGTATCGAGACTTACTGTCATCTTCCTCATATTCCCTACATGCATTCTTTTCCATATATAAAGATCCTCTTTGCCAACCAATCTCCCCATCATTATTTCCCATTTCCCAGATGTAACTAAAATCCCTCTGCCCATTTCAAAAACACCTGATTACAAGATACAGCAATAGAAGATGCTTCAAGTTTGTATCGTGATGGTGCATGTTTTTTTGCTTTTTGACAGTGATATCACTGCTGGTCAAGTGTGTTATAACAACATAAATATAACCACCTGAAGCAAATTATCACTTTAAGAAGTATATAAATCATTCCTAAATGTACATGCACAAATCTTTATTGGACACAGAATAAGAAGACACATGATTGGTTTTCTTTATATCTTTTTAAAACATCTCAAGAAAGCAGACCATTAAAAATCAGGTTTGAGGAAATTTATCTCACAGGAAAAGAGCTTATAAAATAGAAAAGAATGCCTTATAGTATTTTATAAAATATGCTATCAACATGAACATAAAACTGAAACCCTGACGTGGCCTAAAAATTATCTCTAAGTACTTACATGTTTTATACAATTTAAAAATTCTTCCTTCTTGGTTTCTGCATTTCAAAAAAATTCAGAGCTCACTAAATGTCTAGGTTGGGTTTTAAGGGTAAGAAGCAAAATTTAGCACACTCAAATATATTCTAAGATCTAAAAGAATGTTAAGCATTTTTTGCATTAACTGAAAAGTATTTCCATTAAATAACAGCTCAGACTACAAATCACTGGTCTCAAACATAACTGTTTTTTCTTCAATATTTTATTTTTTCCTAGCCAAAATTCAACTTAGTAATCCTTAATGGTTCAAGTATTAAAACCAGAATAAATATAATAGAGCAATCTTCTTCAGTGTCCCTTAAGAAAGTCAAAGTAAAACATCTAACTCATAATTATGAGGTATAAAATTCAGAAGAACTTAGCCAATAATTTTTCAGCCATTTTAAACTATACCGTTCAAATCAGGGTTCCACTTACAGCTAAGAATGTCAGAATGCTTTTAAACTTAAAAACGATGGTTAATCAATATGTAAAGTGATTTCTACAATATCTATTGTTTGAAACTCAACTGCCAAAATATCAAACTCTGGGTATATAAAAAAAAATAACTAGAACTTCCAGTTTCTAGTCTGTAAAGAGCTTAGAAGTCACTACTCCACTCTGACAACAGAGCCCCTCTTTATCCCTGATAACTTTCCTTGCTCTGAAGTTGGCTCTGTCTGAAACTTATATAGCTACTCTCACTTTCTTTTGATCAGTGTTAATTAGCAATGTTATATTTTTCTCCTTTACTTTTAATCTTCATGTATTTTTCTTTTTAAAGTGGCTTTCTTGTAGACAATATATGAACAAAATCAAGGAACTAATAAGTGGAGAGATAGTCCATGTTCATGGATAGAACACTCAAAATTGTTGAAACGTGGAGTTCTTCCCAACATGATCTTTGGATTTGACATGATCTTAATCAAAATCCCAGCAAGTTATTTTGTGGATCTTGACAAACTAATGCTGAAGTTTATATGGAAAGGCAAAGACCAGAATAGCTAACATGATATTGAAGAAGAGCAACGATGGAAAATTGATACTACTCAACTACAAGATTTACTATAAAGCTATAGTAATCAAATCAGTGTAGTATTGGTGAAAGAACAGCTATTCTGTTCCAATAGCTCAATGGAACAGAATAGAGAACCCAGAAATAGACACCTATAAATATAATC